TACACGTGTAGAAAAGATATATATGGCGAGTGCTTGTTTGGTTTGTTTGTTAGGAATACAACCACTTGGGGGGGGGGGGGGGGTAGAGCGGCGGTCTGGCTTCATGCAGGTCGGCGTTCAATTCCCCGACCGTCCACAAGTGGTTGGGGCAACATTACTTTCCCCACCGTTCCCCACCAGGGAGCCGGTCGGCCGAGTGGACAGCACGCTGGACTTGTGATCCTGTGGTCCTGGGTTCGATCCCAGGCGCCGGCGAGAAACAATGGGCAGAGTTTCTTTCACCCTATGCCCTGTTACCTAGCAGTAAAATAGGTACCTGGGTGTTAGTCAGCTGTCACGGGCTGCTTCCTGGGGGTGGAGGCCTGGTCGAGAACCGGGCCGCGGGAACACTAAAGCCCCGAAATCATCTCAAGATAACCTCAAGATAACCGTCCCATCCCTAATCGTTATCCTGACCCCTTCCCAGCGGTATATAGTCCTAATGGCTTGGCGCTTCCCCCTGATAGTTCCCTTCCATTGCTAAGTACAACTATAACACAGCTAAATATAGCACAAACCTATGACCTATTGACCTCACTGACCTATTGAGGTCACTAGGTCTCTTCTCCTGGCGCTAATCTTATGGGCGCTAATCTATTCTAATCTAGTCTAAGACGCTAATCGCCCCTATGTTCTTAGTCAGGAGGGGGGGCGGTGTAATGTGTCGCTGGAGAAAAACTCAAGAAGGGGGGTCCCGCCCCCCTCCCCAGGGAAATATTAAAATATAAGGAAGGTGCCCCCCCTCCCCCCCCCACGCACTCTTACAAGGAGCAAGAACTTTATTGAAGATTGTGAACTAAATTGCATACCGACGTTGTCTTGTTAACGTCCGAAGACATTATTAATCTCTCCCACAGCATGACGAACTGAAGCTAGACAGTGAATAAAGCAAGACAATGAACAATGAGAAGTAAAGTAAGGCATATAAGAATGAGAAGTAAAGTGTGTGTACTCGTCTACTTGTGCTTGCGGGGGTTGAGCTCTGGCTCTTTGGTCCCGCCTCTCAACCGTCAATCAACAGGTGTACAGGTTCCTGAGCCTATTGGGCTCTATCATATCTACACTTGAAACTGTGTATGGAGTCAGCCTCCACCACATCACTGCCTAATGCATTCCATCCGTTAACTACTCTGACACTAAAAAAGTTCCTTCTAACGTCCCTGTGGCTCATGTGGGTACTCAGTTTCCACCTGTGTCCCCTTGTTCGCGTCCCACCAGTGTTGAATATTTTATCCTTGTTTACCCGGCCAATTCCCCTGAGAATTTTGTAGGTTGTGATCATGTCTCTCCTTACTCTTCTGTCTTCCAGTGTCGTAAAGTGTGTGTGTGTGTGTGTGTGTGTGTGTGTGTGTGCGCGCGCGCTCGTGTGTGTATATGCGCGCGTGTGCTTGCGCGCGCGAGCGCAAAATGAGCACATTTTCCTAAAATTACTCACCTGTCAAATTCCCCGTCCAATACACGCAAACTGATCACCAGGCGTCAAGTTACCAGCGACGACTCTTGACAGAACTTAATGATATACAAATTGTTCTCCCAGAGCTCTACGAGTGTGAGAACTCTTACCACTATACACTCACTCCAGAGAGTGTTACTCACCTACCACTACTACCCACAGGATAGGTATGGGGGTCCACTACCACCCACAGGATAGGTATGGGGGTCCACTACCACCCACAGGATAGGTATGGGGGTCCACTACTACCCACAGGATAGGTATGGGGTCCACTACCACCCACAGGATGGGTATGGGGTCCGCTACCACCCACAGGATAGGTATGGGGTCCGCTACCACCCACAGGATAGGTATGGGGTCCACTACCACCCACAGGATGGGTATGGGGTCCACTACCACCCACAGGATGGGTATGGGGTCCACTACCACTCACAGGATGGGTATTGGGGTCCACTACCACCCACAGGATGGGTATGGGGGTCCACTACCACCCACAGGATGGGTATGGGGTCCACTACCACTCACAGGATGGGTACGGGGGTCCACTACCATCCACGGGATGGGTATGGGGACCACTACCCCCCACAGGATGGGTATGGGGTCCACTACCACTCACTGGATGGGTATGGGGTCCACTACCATCCACGGGATGGGTATGGGGTCCACTACCACCCACAGGATGGGTATAGGGTCCACTACCACCCACAGGATGGGTATGGGGTCCACTACCACCCATAGGATGGGTATGGGGTCCACTACCACCCACAGGATGGGTATGGGGTCCACTACCACCCACAGGATGGGAATGGGGTCCACGACCACCCACAGGATGGGTATGGGGGTTCACTACCACCCACAGGATGGGTATGGGGTCCACTACCACCCACAGGATGGGTATGGGGGTCCACTACCGCCAAAAGGATGGGTATGGGGTCCACTACCCCCTACAGGATGGGTATGGGGTCCACCACCACCCACAGGATGGGTACGGGGGTCCACTACCACCCACAGGATGGGTATGGGGGTTCACTACCACCCACAGGATGGGTATGGGGTCCACTACCACCCACAGGATGGGTATGGGGTCCACTACCACCCACAGGATGGGTATGGGGTCCACTACCACCCACAGGATGGGTATGGAGTCCACTGCCACCCACAGGATGGGTATGGGGTCCACTACCACCCACAGGATGGGTATGGGGTCCACTATCACCCACAGGATGGGTATGGGGTCCACTACCGCCCACAGGATGGGTATGGGGTCCACTACACCACCACAGGATGGGTATGGGGTCCACTACCACCCACAGGATGGGTATGGGGTCCACTACCACTCACAGGATGGGTATGGGGTCCACTACCACCCACAGGATGGGTATGGGGTCCACTACCACCCACAGGATGGGTATGGGGTCCACTACCACTCACAGGATGGGTATGGGGTCCACTACCACCCACAGGATGGGTATGGGGTCCACTACCACCCACAGGATGGGAATGGGGTCCACTACCACCCACAGGATGGGTATGGAGTCCACCACCACCCACAGGATGGGTATGGGGGTCCACTACCACCCACAGGATGGGTATGGGGTCCACTACCACCCACAGGATGGGTATGGGGGTCCACTACCACCCACAGGATGGGTATGGGGTCCACTACCACCCACAGGATGGGTATGGGGTCCACTACCACCCACAGGATGAGTATGGGAGACCACTACCACCCACAGGATGGGTATGGGGGTCCACTACCACCCACAGGATGGGTATGGGGTCCACTACCACCCACAGGATGGGTATGGGGGACCACTACCACCCACAAGATGGGTATGGGGTCCACTACCACCCACAGGATGGGTATGGGGTCCACTACCACCCACAGGATAGGTATGGGGCAGGTGGCTACCTTTACCTGTGGCAGGTGGTTACCGTTACCTGTGGCAGGTGGCTACCGTTACCTGTGGCAGGTGGCTACCGTTACCTGTGGCAAGTGGCTACCGTTACCTGTGGCAAGTGGCTACCGTTACCTGTGGCAGGTGGCTACCGCTACCTGTGGCAGGTGGCTACCTTTACCTGTGGCAGGTGGCTACCGTTACCTGTGGCAGGTGGCTACCGTTACCTGTGGCAGGTGGCTACCGTTACCTGTGGCAGGTGGCTTGTGTTACCTGTGGCAGGTGGCTACCGTTACCTGTGGCAGGTGGCTTGCGTTACCTGTGGCAGGTGGGTACCGTTACCTGCGCCAGGTGGCTACCGTTACCTGTGGCAGGTGGCTAACGTTACCTGTGGCAGGTGGCTACCGTTACCTGTGGTAGGTGGCTACCGTTACCTGTGGCAGGTGGCTACCGTTACCTGTGGCAGGTGGCTACCGTTACCTGTGGCAGGTGGCTACCGTTACCTGTGGCAGGTGGCTTGTGTTACCTGTAGCAGGTGGCTACCGTTACCTGTGGCAGGTGGCTACCGTTACCTGTGGCAGGTGGCTACCGTTACCTGTGGCAGGTGGCTACCGTTACCTGTGGCAGGTGGCTACCGTTACCTGTGGCAGGTGGCTACCGTTACCTGTGGCAGGTGGCTACCGTTACCTGTGGCAGGTGGCTACCGCTACCTGTGGCAAGTGGCTACCGTTACCTGTGGCAGGTGGCTACCGTTACCTGTGGCAGGTGGCTACCGTTACCTGTGGCAGGTGGCTACCGTTACCTGTGGCAGGTGGCTACCGTTACCTGTGGCAGGTGGCTACCGTTACCTGTGGTAGGTGGCTACCGTTACCTGTGGCAGGTGGCTACCGTTACCTGTGGTAGGTGGCTACCGTTACCTGTGGCAGGTGGCTACCGTTACCTGTGGCAGGTGGCTACCGTTACCTGTGGCAGGTGGCTTGCGTTACCTGTGGCAGGTGGCTACCGCTACCTGTGGCAGGTGGCTACCGTTACCTGTGGCAGGTGGCTACCGTTACCTGTGGCAGGTGGCTTGTGTTACCTGTGGCAGGTGGCTTGTGTTACCTGTGGCAGGTGGCTACCGTTACCTGTGGCAGGTGGCTACCGTTACCAGTGGCAGGTGGCTACCATTACCTGTGGCAGGTGGCTACCGTTACCTGTGGCAGGTGGCAACCATTACCTGTGGCAGGTGGCTACAGGTGACGGATCTCCGAACCCTGAGCACTCCAGGTGCAAACTCTGTGAGCAGCACCTGTCATTATGTCCCACAATACATTATTGAATACCCCGTTGTTAAGACCTTTCAGACCTGCCTGGATGAGGTACCTGGAGCTTTGCAATTACTTTATCACCTCTCGTGTTCATGATGATATCCTCATAATGCACCCAGAAGAGTCTGCCAGTGGAGACTAATGATCCAATGCCTCTGAGAGGGAGAGAACGTTCGGTAAGCCAGGGAACAATTTGGGACACATTAAGTAGCCCTGAGAACACCTAATGCTGCTCGCTCAGAAAATTATAAAATTGATTTTTTGGGGGGTCAAAGCGCGCGCTGAAATAGATTATAATTTATATTACTTCTTCTGTAAGGGGTCACAGGGGCTTCTGTAAGGGTCACAGGGGCTTCTGTAAGGGTCACAGGGGCTTCTGTAAGGGTCACAGGGGCTTCTGTAAGGGTCACAGGGCCTTCTGTAAGGGTCACAGGGCCTTCTGTAAGGGTCACAGGGCCTTCTGTAAGGGTCACAGGGCCTTCTGTAAGGCTCACAGGGGTTTCTGTAAGGGTCACAGGGCCTTCTGTAAGGGTCACAGGGCCTTCTGTAAGGGTCACAGGGCCTTCTGTAAGGGTCACAGGGGGTTCTGTAAGGGTCACAGGGCCTTCTGTAAGGGTCACAGGGCCTTCTGTAAGGGTCACAGGGCCTTCTGTAAGGGTCACAGGGGCTTCTGTAAGGGTCACAGGGGCTTCTGTTAGGGTCACAGGGCCTTCTGTAAGGGTCACAGGGCTTTCTGTAAGGGTCACAGGGGCTTTTGTTAGGGTCACAGGGGCTTCTGTAAGGGTCACAGGGCCTTCTGTAAGGCTCACAGGGGCTTCTGTAAGGGTCACAGAGCCTTCTGTAAGGGTCACAGGGGCTTCTGTAAGGGTCACAGGGGCTTCTGTAAGGGTCACAGGGCCTTCTGTAAGGGGTCACAGGGGCTTCTGTAAGGGTCACAGGGCTTTCTGTAAGGGTCACAGGGCCTTCTGTAAGGGTCACAGGGCCTTCTGTAAGGGTCACAGGGCCTTCTGTAAGGGTCACAGGGCCTTCTGTAAGGGTCACAGGGCCTTCTGTTAGGGTCACAGGGCCTTCTGTTAGGGTCACAGAGCCTTCTGTAAGGGTCACAGGGGCTTCTGTAAGGGTCACAGAGCCTTCTGTAAGGGTCACAGGGCCTTCTGTAAGGGTCACAGGGCCTTCTGTAAGGCTCACAGGGCCTTCTGTTAGGGTCACAGGGCCTTCTGTAAGGGTCACAGGGCCTTCTGTAAGGCTCACAGGGCCTTCTGTAAGGGTCACAGGGCCTTCTGTAAGGGTCACAGGGGCTTCTGTAAGGGTCACAGGGGCTTCTGTAAGGGTCACAGGGCCTTCTGTAAGGGTCACAGGGGCTTCTGTAAGGGTCACAGGGCCTTCTGTAAGGGTCACAGGGCCTTCTGTAAGGGTCACAGGGCCTTCTGTAAGGCTCACAGGGCCTTCTGTAAGGCTCACAGGGCCTTCTGTAAGGGTCACAGGGCCTTCTGTAAGGGTCACAGGGCACACACACACACACACACACACACACCCACACACACACACACACACACACACACACACACACACACACACACACACACACACACACACACACACACACACACACACACACACACACACACACACACACACACACACACACACACACACACACACACATGTACCAAACCTGTTCCGTCTTCACCAGTCGTGCTGGACACACCAAATGGTTTTCAAGAGTCAGCCTGTCGACTAGACAATTATATAATTGATCAATTATTGCTGGAGTTAAAAAATCAAGGGGCCAAGTGCCAGCAAAATTTCCTCGCGTGCCACTCTTGGCACGCGTACCACAGGTTCACCTACCCCTGATGCCTCTGTTCACCTAGCAGCAATTAGGTATCCAAGAGTTACGCCACCGTTATGGGGGTTACACCGTGTGGAAAGCCAGTCTATGGGTTCGTTAACCGTAACAGTCTTCCTGTCCCCGACCATCTTGAGGTTATCTTGAGATGATTTCGGGGCTTTAGTGTCCCCGCGGCCCGGTCCTCGACCAGGCCTCCACCCCCAGGAAGCAGCCCGTGACAGCTGACTAACACCCAGGTACCTATTTTACTGCTAGGTAACAGGGACATAGGGTGAAAGAAACTCTGCCTATTGTTTCTCGCCGGCGCCTGGGATCGAACCCAGGACCACAGGATCACAAGTCCAGCGTGCTGTCCGCTCGGCCGACCAGCTCCCTTACCATGGGAAACCATATTCAGAATAAGTCCGAAGAGAGTAAGGCCGGCTAGTCCCGGCACAATCTGTCCTACAAAGAACGTCGCTTTTCGGCCGTATGCGTCACATAAAGCCAAAAATCATCGTACTAGAAAATGAAAGCGGCTGGCGAAATTGACTTGCTGTTCCCGTTTTCTGTTGTGGGTCCTCTGGCAGGTTAGGATAAAGGCACTTAACATTGACCGTTTTTCTTGACCCTCTAAGTACTCGAGTGCCTTAATGTTGATAAATAAACATTACATATTACATGTAAGAACTGAAGAACAGAAACCTAACACCATTGGAACAAACAAAAGACAGGGGGGGGGGGAGAAAGAGAATTAAAACCTCCATTGAGAACATTTTAGAGTAATAAGGAGAGAGGGAACCCGGCCCATAACACTGCTACACAATGTTCTACACAATGTTCTCCACAATGTTCTACACAATGTTCTCCACAATGTTCTCCACAATGTTCTCCACAATGTTCTCCACAATGTTCTACACAATGTTCTCCACAATGTTCTCCACAATGTTCTCCACAATGTTCTACACAATGTTCTACACAATGTTCTCCACAATGTTCTCCACAATGTTCTCCACAATGTTCTACACAATGTTCTCCACAATGTTCTCCACAATGTTCTACACAATGTTCTACACAATGTTCTCCACAATGTTCTCCACAATGTTCTACACAATGTTCTCCATAATGTTCTCCACAATGTTCTCCACAATGTTCTCCACAATGTTCTACACAATGTTCTCCACAATGTTCTCCACAATGTTCTCCACAATGTTCTCCACAATGTTCTCCACAATGTTCTCCACAATGTTCTACACAACGTTCCACACAATGTTCTCCACAATGTTCTCCACAATGTTCTCCACAATGTTCCACACAATGTTCTCCACAATGTTCTCCACAATGTTCTCCACAATGTTCTCCACAATGTTCTACACAATGTTCTCCACAATGTTCTCCACAATGTTCTCCACAATGTTCCACACAACGTTCCACACAATGTTCTCCACAATGTTCCACACAACGTTCCACACAACGTTCCACACAATGTTCTACACAACGTTCCACACAACGTTCTACACAATGTTCTCCACAATGTTCTCCACAATGTTCTCCACAATGTTCTACACAACGTTCCACACAATGTTCTCCACAATGTTCTCCACAATGTTCTCCACAATGTTCTCCACAATGTTCTACACAACGTTCCACACAATGTTCTCCACAATGTTCTCCACAATGTTCTACACAATGTTCTCCACAATGTTCTACACAACGTTCCACACAATGTTCTACACAATGTTCTCCACAATGTTCTACACAATGTTCTCCACAATGTTCTACACAACGTTCCACACAATGTTCTCCACAATGTTCTACACAATGTTCTCCACAATGTTCTCCACAATGTTCTCCACAATGTTCTCCACAATGTTCTCCACAATGTTCTCCACAATGTTCTACACAACGTTCCACACAATGTTCTCCACAATGTTCTCCACAATGTTCTACACAATGTTCTCCACAATGTTCTACACAACGTTCCACACAACGTTCCACACAATGTTCTCCACAATGTTCTACACAATGTTCTACACAATGTTCTCCATAATGTTCTCCACAATGTTCTCCACAATGTTCTCCACAATGTTCTCCACAATGTTCCACACAATGTTCTACACAATGTTCTCCACAACGTTCCACACAACGTTCCACACAACGTTCCACACAACGTTCTACACAACGTTCTACACAACGTTCCACACAACGTTCTACACAACGTTCCACACAATGTTCCACACAACGTTCTACACAATGTTCCACACAACGTTCCACACAACGTTCCACACAATGTTCCACACAACGTTCTACACAATGTTCCACACAACGTTCCACACAACGTTCCACACAATGTTCCACACAATGTTCCACACAACGTTCTACACAACGTTCTACACAACGTTCCACACAACGTTCCACACAATGTTCCACACAATGTTCTACACAACGTTCCACACAACGTTCCACACAACGTTCCACACAATGTTCCACACAATGTTCCACACAACGTTCCACACAACGTTCCACACAACGTTCTACACAACGTTCCACACAATGTTCCACACAACGTTCCACACAATGTTCCACACAATGTTCCACACAACGTTCCACACAATGTTCCACACAACGTTCTACACAATGTTCCACACAATGTTCCACACAACGTTCCACACAATGTTCCACACAATGTTCCACACAACGTTCCACACAATGTTCCACACAACGTTCTACACAATGTTCCACACAATGTTCCACACAACGTTCCACACAATGTTCCACACAATGTTCCACACAACGTTCCACACAATGTTCCACACAACGTTCTACACAATGTTCCACACAATGTTCCACACAACGTTCCACACAATGTTCCACACAATGTTCCACACAACGTTCCACACAATGTTCCACACAACGTTCTACACAATGTTCTACACAATGTTCCACACAATGTTCCACACAATGTTCTACACAACGTTCCACACAACGTTCCACACAATGTTCCACACAATGTTCCACACAATGTTCCACACAATGTTCCACACAATGTTCTACACAATGTTCCACACAACGTTCTACACAATGTTCTACACAATGTTCCACACAATGTTCCACACAATGTTCTACACAACGTTCCACACAACGTTCCACACAATGTTCCACACAATGTTCTCCACAATGTTCTCCACAATGTTCTCCACAATGTTCTCCACAATGTTCTCCACAATGTTCTACACAACGTTCCACACAATGTTCTCCACAATGTTCTCCACAATGTTCTCCACAATGTTCCACACAATGTTCTCCACAATGTTCTCCACAATGTTCTCCACAATGTTCTCCACAATGTTCTCCACAATGTTCTACACAATGTTCTCCACAATGTTCTCCACAATGTTCCACACAACGTTCCACACAATGTTCTCCACAATGTTCCACACAACGTTCCACACAACGTTCCACACAATGTTCTACACAACGTTCCACACAACGTTCTCCACAATGTTCTCCACAATGTTCTCCACAATGTTCTCCACAATGTTCTACACAACGTTCCACACAATGTTCTCCACAATGTTCTCCACAATGTTCTCCACAATGTTCTACACAACGTTCCACACAATGTTCTCCACAATGTTCTCCACAATGTTCTACACAATGTTCTCCACAATGTTCTACACAACGTTCCACACAATGTTCTACACAATGTTCTCCACAATGTTCTACACAATGTTCTCCACAATGTTCTACACAACGTTCCACACAATGTTCTCCACAATGTTCTACACAATGTTCTCCACAATGTTCTCCACAATGTTCTCCACAATGTTCTCCACAATGTTCTCCACAATGTTCTACACAACGTTCCACACAATGTTCTCCACAATGTTCTCCACAATGTTCTACACAATGTTCTCCACAATGTTCTACACAACGTTCCACACAACGTTCCACACAATGTTCTCCACAATGTTCTACACAATGTTCTACACAATGTTCTCCATAATGTTCTCCACAATGTTCTCCACAATGTTCTCCACAATGTTCTCCACAATGTTCCACACAATGTTCTACACAATGTTCTCCACAATGTTCTACACAACGTTCCACACAACGTTCCACACAACGTTCTACACAACGTTCCACACAACGTTCTACACAACGTTCCACACAATGTTCCACACAACGTTCTACACAATGTTCCACACAACGTTCCACACAACGTTCCACACAATGTTCCACACAACGTTCTACACAATGTTCCACACAACGTTCCACACAACGTTCCACACAATGTTCCACACAATGTTCCACACAACGTTCTACACAACGTTCTACACAACGTTCCACACAACGTTCCACACAATGTTCCACACAATGTTCTACACAACGTTCCACACAACGTTCCACACAACGTTCCACACAATGTTCCACACAATGTTCCACACAACGTTCCACACAACGTTCCACACAACGTTCTACACAACGTTCCACACAATGTTCCACACAACGTTCCACACAATGTTCCACACAATGTTCCACACAACGTTCCACACAATGTTCCACACAACGTTCTACACAATGTTCCACACAATGTTCCACACAACGTTCCACACAATGTTCCACACAATGTTCCACACAACGTTCCACACAATGTTCCACACAACGTTCTACACAATGTTCCACACAATGTTCCACACAACGTTCCACACAATGTTCCACACAATGTTCCACACAACGTTCCACACAATGTTCCACACAACGTTCTACACAATGTTCCACACAATGTTCCACACAACGTTCCACACAATGTTCCACACAATGTTCCACACAACGTTCCACACAATGTTCCACACAACGTTCTACACAATGTTCTACACAATGTTCCACACAATGTTCCACACAATGTTCTACACAACGTTCCACACAACGTTCCACACAATGTTCCACACAATGTTCCACACAATGTTCCACACAATGTTCCACACAATGTTCTACACAATGTTCCACACAACGTTCTACACAATGTTCTACACAATGTTCCACACAATGTTCCACACAATGTTCTACACAACGTTCCACACAACGTTCCACACAATGTTCCACACAATGTTCCACACAACGTTCTACACAATGTTCCACACAATGTTCCACACAATGTTCCACACAATGTTCCACACAATGTTCCACACAATGTTCTACACAACGTTCCACACAACGTTCCACACAATGTTCCACACAATGTTCTACACAACGTTCCACACAATGTTCCACACAATGTTCCACACAATGTTCCACACAATGTTCCACACAATGTTCCACACAATGTTCTACACAACGTTCCACACAATGTTCCACACAATGTTCCACACAATGTTCCACACAATGTTCCACACAATGTTCCACACAATGTTCCACACAACGTTCTACACAACGTTCCACACAACGTTCTACACAACGTTCCACACAACGTTCCACACAACGTTCCACACAACGTTCTACACAACGTTCCACACAACGTTCTACACAACGTTCCACACAACGTTCCACACAACGTTCCACACAACGTTCCACACAACGTTCCACACAACGTTCCACACAACGTTCCACACAACGTTCTACACAACGTTCCACACAACGTTCCACACAACGTTCCACACAACGTTCCACACAACGTTCCACACAACGTTCCACACAACGTTCTCACTCATAGATCACGTCACTATGAGTTAGGCTTCACCTCAGTTACTCACAAAAGCCATTAACCTAAACAACAGGTGAACACGGCACATATAACCCAGCTACAACAACACAGGAAGTTGCACAACCGCACCACATTAAAACGCCTCACCCACAAGCTATTATAAAAAAAAATTATTAAATAATATACATTATAAATATCCTATATATATATATATACATCAACCTACAAGGGAACTGCTACATGACACATTGTTTATGTAATTGTCAGTAAGCCCAGATATATATATATATATATATATATATATATATATATATATATATATATATATATATATATATATATATATATATATATATATATATATATATATATATATATATATATATATATATACATATGTATATACCACAAATGTTTTACGTGATCTGTCTTGCAAGAACTTCAGTAATGGACAAATCCACAAGGGGCCGTGATGAGGGTTCGAACTTATGCCCGGGATCATTCCAGACGCTGCCTTAGTCGACTAGGCCACGACATGGTAAAAAGAATTGTAATAATAAGGGATTTTAACCATGAAAGAAGAGACTAGATCAATCTAACATAATAAAGAAAGAAAAAAACAGTTTCTTGACCCTCCCCCCCCCCTCACTCGGCACGAACCAGATCCCACAAGAGGAAAAAACATTCTAATAGAGCTTGGACTAGCAACCTAGGAGGCGGTGACAATACGCGGCAACCTGTCCCCTAAGAATTTACCTCTGAATTTGGCCGTTTGCCGTATGGCCGAAAATGATGGTAATTTGAAAATGATAAATAATTGAAAATGAATTTTTGATTTTGTCTTCAAAACGCCAAATTATGGTTAGGTTAGGGTAGGTTAGGAGGGCAAGAAGTTCTCCTGAGGCTTCAAAACGTCATGAAAACCGGTAATTGAAAGTTTCCTCTCCTAACCTAACCGAGTAAGCCGGAGGACTCAAACAGAAAACGGGACAGCACATCACTTTCGTGAGCCGATTTCATTTCAAATTACGTCCATTTTTGGCCATAGCGCATACGAGCGAAAAGCGACGTTCTTTTCAGAGGACGAGTTATCCGTACTCGTGCTCACTCGTAACTACTCCAGAGCTGGAGGAACACATTACCTATCTTCATTACTTGGCTGTCTAACTTGACTTTGTGGTCATCTAAATGCTTTACTACAAATGCTTTGCTTTACTACACTATCGAGCTAATACTAGATATAGCTAACAGCTATATTAAGCTAATATAATAATATCAATTAGCATATTATATAATACTATACTAATAGAACTAGCAGTTCTAGCATTACTACAGTTTTTAAGTTAACTACTAAACTTTCAAAGTTCATCAATAAAGTATCAAGTTCATTACTGGGCAGTCAAGACATTACTAAAAAAGATATTCGTATTATTTTTACGAATATCTTTTTACTGAAGCCTCAGAGCTTATTACTAGGCTACTAAGTCATTACTAAATACTAAATTGCATTACTAGGCTATTAGGTACATTGGCATATTAAGTGCATCTCTACACAATTAGTACTTATGTCTGTTTCATTTTGTAGCCGTTACTGTACTTTACCTATTTTCTATTTTAAATACACCCCGCCAAACACACACCGAAACTACGACGTTGGTACAACGTTGGAACAAGTTTTAACACTTCCTAACCAGTTATAACAACCAATATAGCAAGTTGTAACAACGTTCTAATACGTCATAAACACGTTAAGCCAAGATGTAACAACTTTATTACAAGTTGTAACAAGCGGAAAATAGAGACATTTTCGGTTTGTGTTTCCAGGGACATCTGCAAATTCTCTTAAGACTAGGAAATTCGTTTTAGTGACTGTTTCAATACCTATAAATGATTTTATTGGCAGTTTCAGCACCAATAAATGATATATTTTCGTGCTTTCTGCGTCAAGAAAAGTTTGTAAGTGAATCTGTACACTTAGAAGGCGTTGAAGCATGGCACTTTTGTATGGATGTCTTGCTAAACTTTAGTAACAACACTTTATAAAGTAAGGAAGGCTTTGAAGTGTCATTTAAATGCAGATAGAAAACATAACGTCAAATTACTCGAAAAGAATTATTACCTGCCAGAGAGTTTAAAAAATTACTTTTTTTATACATAAGGAAAAAGAATAAATAATCTTCTATATGTATGTACTCACCTAGTATGTATCCACCCTGGCAACCACATACATCAACCTCTCTGCCGGCACAGCAGGAGCCGCGGCGACACACAGAGAAAGAGACAAGTCAGCCAAGTACAGGGAATTAGATCATCGGTACAACTTCGTTCCAATAGGGTCTGAGACCCTAGGCCCATGGGGAGAGAGTGCAAGAAGGTTTCTTAAGGATCTTGGTTTCAAGCTCATTGACACCACAAGAGACCCTAGAGCGGCAAGTTTTCTCTTTCAGCGCCTCAGTGTCGCGATCCAAAGGGGGAATGCTCGCTGCATCCTCGGTTCCTGCCCGGCGTCGGAGGAGTTCCAGGAAATCTACAGCCTCTAGGAAGCGAACTTTTTCTTGTGTCCTCTTAATGTTCATTTTATGTATAAAATCAGATATGTAACTGTATAACCTTGCATAATAGAGTGTACACCATGAAAATGGGGGGTGGTAGAAGTGAACACTCTTACGTATTCAGAGTTAAATGGCAAGTTTTTCCCTGAATGCTGTGTGTTCCCTTCTCTGAGGCTGTGGGTCCCTACAATTGCACCAGAGGTGGTACCCCTTTATATATTCACATATTCCACACACATATATATGTGTGTGTATATCACATATACCTTTATATCCATTCACATATGCCATCGGAGCCTCGAACGCAGGACCAAACAAATTTAATTCCTGTCAAATTATTCCTTATGTTGATTCCTATATAACTGAAGGAAAGATGAATTTTTCATAATTAAATCCTTACAAAGAAATCCGCAAGATGTCACTCTTACAAGTTCTTACAAACATGTAAAGATATATTACATAACTAGTCGCCCAATTAAAGAGTAATGTCAATATATTGACTAAATACGTCAACTTATAATTCTGGAAATGTAATTACTTACAACCACTTAATCCCTAAATTCTAATATATTACAACTTAATCTTTTAGACAAACTGCGCATCAGAATCCGGATTTCGTGCATTAACATCAAGCGCCCACGTGTTGTTGTTTACATTGTTATCACCCTCAGGAGAGGGGTGCCAACGATAATGGCACTGATGATAACGAGGCTCTCACACACGATCAGTTATTCTCTATAAAACGTTTCAATATAGAGTGAAACGGATCACCCAAAAATATAGAAAGACAAATCAAATCCCAGTAGCCTACTAGGACTGTAGCAGGCAGCCTCACCCACTGTGTATTCCTATATGAGTTTACCGGGAAAGTATAATAAAGCCTTATCTTGAGGTTATCTTGAGATGATTTCGGGGCTTTAGTGTCCCCGCGGCCCGGTCCTCGACCAGGCCTCCACCCCCAGGAAGCAGCCCGTGACAGCAGACTAACTCCCAGGTACCTATTTACTGCTAGGTAACAGGGGCATTTAGGGTGAAAGAAACTTTGCCCATTTGTTTCTGCCTCGTGCGGGAATCGAACCCGCGCCACAGAATTACGAGTCCTGCGCGCTATCCACCAGGCTAGCCTAATGATAACTAAACTAAATCACCGATTAATGAATAACTAATTGCTCAAAGACTCCACGTCTAAGGTATTATTAGTTCAAACATACCACCCAACCTCTTACCAATCGTATTCTTATAGAAACCGACCAATCCGTTAAAAAAGGCGACGAATTAGTATAAATTAAAGCATCGTATAATTGACGTATTCTATGCATCAGGCTCGATAGATTGTGAGGGTTTATTGAGATTCTAGTTAAGACACTTCTTGTAGCGTCGACACATTGGGATAACTTGTGGCAATGTCAACATTCACTATTGCAATAGTGCTCTCGGGAGAGCGTTTGTTGTTGGTGAAACATATATATATGTTCAAGACTGCTCTCCTTCACTATACTTATATGATACAAACTTTACCTTTACGTAGTTTATTAATTCATATATAGTTTATATTTTATATGAATGTTTCGATGATATATTTATTAAGGTGATGACCGTCCGGGTTCCCCTCTGCTCCACGTCACTCTCACCCTACACCCTTCCCAACTGTTCCACCCCCTCTCTCACCCTTCCCCTCGTTGTTGTTTAAGATTCGCTACCTGGAAGAAAAAGTTGCAAGTAGCACGGTCTATGGTGAGCCCCGTAGTGGAGGAGACTTTTCCCCTCGTCACGCCACTGGGCCCATCAGCCTCTTCCCTCTCCGTCAATATTGCAACTGTTGAGCCGAACCACTAAACGTACGAACACAGGCAACACACACACAACCTATCGAGGCCAATGTATACACAAACGGCAAAATTACGGGGTATTATTTTTTTACCATTACTTGGCGACGTATTAAATAAGAGGTTGGATATTTGTATATTATTAGGCTGTTATTTCACCTCCTAGTTCGTCTCTCTCTCTCTCTCTCTCTCTCTCTCTCTCTCTCTCTCTCTCTCTCTCTCTCTCTCTCTCTCTCTCTCTCTCTCTCTCTCTCTCTCTCTCTCTCTCTCTCTCTCTCTCACTCTCTCACTCTCTCACTCTCTCACTCTCTCACTCTCTCACTCTCTCACTCTCTCACTCTCTCTCACTCTCTCACTCTCTCACTCTCTCACTCTCTCACTCTCTCACTCTCTCACTCTCTCTCTGTCTCTCTCTCTCTTACTCTCTCTCTCTCTCTCTCTCCTCCAATTTGTGCATTTTCTCTACATTCTCCTTTCGCGTTCGTAGTTCCCAATTTTCCAGCTTTATACGCGGGGAGGGAAGCGGCGGATCAACCTCACTGTTGCTACCTGACCCAGCTGTCATTCCGTGTGCCTGGTCGACCAGCACAGGACGCGCGACGAATGACACGACAGCTTCGTGGGTCAGGCTTTGTGGCAGCCACAGAGAAGAGGGGGGGGGGGTTGAGGGGGGTAGCCTGTTGTCATTGTATGTTATCTGTTGCTCTTGTGCTCTGTCTCTCTCTCTTTATCTTTATTATCCCTTTCTCCTTTTCTTTTTTCATTCTCTTCCACGCCCCTCTTCATTACACTATGTTTACACTCACTCTTTTCCTCTCTCTCTCTTTCTCTTATTCTTCTTCTCTCCCTTTCTTTCTCAATCTTTTTGTCTCCCTCTCTTCTTTTCTTTCTCTCACTCTTATTCTCTCTCCCTACCTACCCCTCTGTCTCACTATTTCTCCCCCTCCACTTGGGGTGGACGGTAGAGCGACGGTCTCCCTTCATGAAGGTCGGCGTTCAATCCCCGCGACCGTCCACAAGTGGTTGGGGAACCATTCCTTTCCCACCGTCCCATCCCAAATCCTTATCCTGACCCCTTCCCAGTGCTATATAATCTTAATGGCTTGGCGCTTTCCCCCTGATAGTTCCCCCTCTCTGGTTTGACAACACTGAACTAACTCAAGCCTCGTAATTCACTTTCCATATTGTATAAGTATTATTTAAAGATTAATATTTAGTAATATATATATTATTTTAATGATTAAAAACATCTTTTATATAACAACATAATTTACACTACAAGTCAATTCGTAACGATTTGAGTCAATAGAAAACAAAAAATTGACTCCAAATACATTGATAACTGATTGATTTCACAAAAGCATGATTGATAATCGTGCTTTTGTGATTATATAGGGTTATATAGGCCAATATTTTCAAGAGTACAGTCAGAGTATTTTCAGAGTACAGTCAGAGTATTTTCAGAGTACAGTCAGAGTATTTTCAGAGTACAGTCAGAGTATTTTCAGAGTACAGTCAGAGTATTTTCAGAGTACAGTCTCTCTTATTCTGACAGTAGTTCCTCCCATCCTTTTTATATTATAACTTGACGTTAACAAATTAACATTTATACTTCAGACCAAAAAAATGGCACAAATTATATATATATTTATTTTTTTCCCTTTTTGAGAGAAAGATAATTTATTCCTTGTGTAATGGAGGTAACTGGTGTATTGTTCACAGCTGAGGGGTTTATGGAATATATTTTCTCCCCCCTACAGAAAAATCTTTGGGGCCCCCCCCGGGGGGGTGGGGAGGGATTTTATGGAGGGGGTTTACAATATTTTTAAAAGAATGCTTATTTTAATGGTTGATTACTGTAACTGCTATCTCAAGGAGATTTTGTATATTATTATTTTTTAATTGACAAGATAAATGGAGTTTTTTTATAATTGGAATTGAGGAAATATTTAAATGATATGAAATCAATGCATTCCTTCCTTTAAAGGAATTCTAGATTTTTTCTTAACAGGATTTAACCAAAGTTCACTGGATTTAAAACCAAATATTAAGCTACATGATATATATTCTTACGAGAATTTTATCTACTAAGCTTTTTTTTTCCTTAATGAGATTAGTGGGTTTACACTACGGGCTCACCATAGGCCGTGCTGCTTGGAACTCTTTGTTCCAGGTAGCAAATCTTAAACAACAACAGGAACAACATAATGGGTTTAGTTCTTTAAGTGGATTACTACATTGCCCAATTCATGTATTGAAATATTGTACCATTTTTGTAACCTATGAGAAAAAAAAAAAAAAAAATATATATATATATATATATATATATATATATATATATATATATATATATATATATATATATATATATATATATATATATATATATATATATATATATATATATATATATATATATATATATATATATATATATATATATATATATATATATATATATATATATATATATATATATATATATATATATATATATATATAATGTGTTTCTTTTGATGATCATCATTACTGCATCAATATTATTGTAATCATTGTAAGTAATTATTAGTATTTGTTAACTATATTAGTATTAATAATTATTAGTGTTATTATATGTTAATATTCAAATTATCTTTACGTACGCCCTTCTTCAATTAAATATATAATATAAAAAATTTTTATTTATGATAATAAAATAAAAAATATTTAAGATAACAATGAAGAAGAAAAAGAATGAGATAAAGATAAAGAAAAGGATTAAGAATAAGAAAAAAAAAGAATAAATAAGAAGCAAAGAAACAAAATATAATTTCTACTCAGAAAGACAGATTAATCTCACTGTTGTTAAGATCACCTGAAGATCACATTAAGGTGATCTTTAAGAATAATCTTAAGATCGAGTTAAGAAAGACAATCTCACATATTTCTACTCAGAGAGACAGATTAATCTCACTGTTGTTAAGATCACCTGAAGATCACATTAAGGTGATCTTTAAGATTAATCTTAAGATCGAGTTAAGAAAGACAATCTCACATATTTCTACTCAGAAAGACAGATTAATCTCACTGTTGTTAAGATCACCTGAAGATCACATTAAGGTGATCTTTAAGATTAATCTTAAGATCGAGTTAAGAAAGACAATCTCACATATTTCTACTCAGAAAGACAGATTAATCTCACTGTTGTTAAGATCACCTGAAGATCACATTAAGGTGATCTTTAAGATTAATCTTAAGATCGAGTTAAGAAAGACAATCTCACATATAAAGGAGTCTCTCATATAACGAATGGTTCAGTGAAATTAATCAACCTGTCCTCTTTACCAAGAACGTCGGTTTTTGAACGTATGCGTTACATAAAAAAAAATCGTCGTACTAGAAAATGGAAGCGACTGGCGAAAAATGACGAACTGTCCCGTTTTCTGTTATGGGTCCTCTGGTAGGTTAGGAGAGACTACTTTAAATAGACCGTTTGCTTGACGTTTTGAAACGTAAGGAGGCTGGTACTCTCAAGGGGCTGGTCTATAACCCATCCTCTTGTTTAGATAGTACTTTATGTAACTATGTGCACCATAGTACAAATACTGACTTACTAAGCAATTAGATAGTAGAATATTGTACTATTCACTTTATAGAGTCCCAAAAAACTAAAAAAAAAAAACTAAAATATTCCTAGGTCTTATATAGCACATATATGTACTATATTAAGCCTCATATACCGTATATTAAGCCTAGGAAGGTCAAGTCTGGGGAGTTTAACTTGTCTCTACAACATAAATACAAAACCTTTATAACTGGTGCCAGTAATAACTGGCACCAGTGTGTGTGTAATAACTGGCACCAGTGTGTGTGTAATAACTGGCACCAGTGTAATAACTGGCACCAGTGTGTGTGTAATAACTGGCACCAGTGTAATAACTGGCACCAGTGTAATAACTGGCACCAGTGTAATAACTGGCACCAGTGTGTGTGTAATAACTGGCACCAGTGTGTGTGTAATAACTGGCACCAGTGTAATAACTGGCACCAGTGTAATAACTGGCACCAGTGTGTGTGTAATAACTGGCACCAGTGTAATAACTGGCACCAGTGTAATAACTGGCACCAGTGTGTGTGTAATAACTGGCACCAGTGTGAGTGTAATAACTGGCACCAGTGTAATAACTGGCACCAGTGTGTGTGTAATAACTGGCACCAGTGTGTGTGTAATAACTGGCACCAGTGTAATAACTGGCACCAGTGTGTGTGTAATAACTGGCACCAGTGTAATAACTGGCACCAGTGTGTGTGTAATAACTGGCACCAGTGTGTGTGTAATAACTGGCACCAGTGTGTGTGTAATAACTGGCACCAGTGTGTGTGTAATAACTGGCACCAGTGTAATAACTGGCACCAGTGTAATAACTGGCACCAGTGTGTGTGTAATAACTGGCACCAGTGTGTGTGTAATAACTGGCACCAGTGTAATAACTGGCACCAGTGTAATAACTGGCACCAGTGTGTGTGTAATAACTGGCACCAGTGTGAGTGTAATAACTGGCACCAGTGTAATAACTGGCACCAGTGTAATAACTGGCACCAGTGTGTGTGTAATAACTGGCACCAGAGTAATAACTG